CCCGTGTTGTGCCTTGTACAAGGGACGAGTTTAGAATATCAGCGAGGGTGTGCTCAATTCGTATGCAAATTCTCTTACGAGCTTGGCCGGAATCCCGTCTGGTCCCTCGGCTTTTTTAGTTTTCACTTTTTGCAGTTTTTGATAGACTTCCCATGGTTTAACGTTCGGTGCTGGGTGTGCAGGTAAGTAAGCTGGCAATAGAGATGTGTCAAGTGGTGGATGACGGCGGATAGGGTTTTGTTTATTTCATCGGCGGTGGCACGGTAGTCGCTAGGGCTCAAACCTTCAATGTTGATAACAGGTTCACAACGGTTCATGTTGGCCATAGCTTTGATTTCCTTATACCACTGGGAAGCATGTTGGTTTTTAAGATCTTTAATTTTGGTATTGTAGTGAGTCTTTTTAGACGCCTTGATTTTACGCTGGACTTTGTTTCGGAGTAGTTTCCAGGTGGCAACGTCCCCTCTTGCGAAGGCTTGCTGACGTGTGCGGATTAGCGACTTAATGGCCGGGGTCATCCATGGCTTATCTTGATTATGAAGACTCACGGACTTGAGCGGGAAGAACTTGTCAATTTTCGACTGTAAAGTCTCGTGCATGGCTCGAGATTTCTCACCTACAGTACTAGCTGTGGAGACTTCCTGCCACTGGTGAGACGTTATCCACTGCCCGAATAGACGTAAGGACGTAAGTAGAACCAAATGCTCGGAAGTGGAGATAAATGAACTTTTCTTCCATTTTTAATGATGCAAGAACCTTACGGCACTCCTACAAAATGTTAAGTTAACAACTAATTTCCATGAAAGTTTTTTTAATTGCTCAAATAAGGCTACCCGCTGGCTGTCAATACCATTTGCTGTGTGGTATTGTGCATGTGTGCTTTCATCCCTGCCTCTATCCATTCCATAACTGCCATTACAAGCTCCTACTACTTTGAGATGCATAAAACATGGGGGTGCTGTCTATCTAAAATATCACATACCATTTTTAGCAATAGTCTTTTGTACCTCTCCGCGTGCTTTTTGCACTTTGACTGGGACCACACTTCTTGTCCCTTTCTTTGCGAACGTCAAACTCATAGTCACGGTATTTACAATGTCATCGTTTAACCTAATCGTTGTCTTCCTGCAGGGCACCTTTCAATACTGAACCAATTGATAGAATAGGAAAATATCCAGCAAATGTTACTTTTCATGTGATGGAATAGCCTTATCCGAGTCAATCAGCTGTGCTCACCTTTCTGTATATACCAGCAGGATGACTCTGTCCATCAAGGTTTCCCTTACAATCATCATGACACGGACACCAATGTCTATGTGCTTTTGAAATAATGAAAAGATCTGATAAGAGCTGATGCACCCGCCTTCAGGACAGGGAAACGTCCGTCACACACGCTGTTTTGTTGTATCAGAACCCCAGAGTCTTCTTCTATGCCTAAATCGTGCAAAGAGTCGTTCGGTCTAACTTGAGGAAAAGTGAAAAGCTGTGGGCTTGTCTAAAGTCATCAGGATGCCTTCCAAGAAGAAGGAAAGAGAGTTCTTTTGAATTTTGATCATGGTAACCACTTACCTAGGCTGACATTGTAGACCTGCCACACCCGTACACTACTTGTGGAAAGTTGAAGTTTGACACTGGCTTTTTATTTCTTTCTATACTTTGTCAAGTCATCAACAGTTATGTCAGCTCCTACGGAGGTTGTGGTCATGCCTCATCTTAGAAAAAGATGCAGTTGTTAGGCCTGGTCTTTATGTATATTCATATATATTCAAATAAATTCATACATATTCATACATATTCATACATATTTATACATATCCATACATATTCATACATATTCATACATATTCATATATATTCATATATATTTATATGTTGGACATTTGGGAATGACTTTCTATTGGAAGGCCCCTTATCACATTATGAGTCGGACAATTCCCTTGATAAAAATTCCCCTTTTTGCCTGCAGGTTTGTAACAGGATTACCACAGTGGTAACAGTCAGCATTGTCCTGCCACAGGAATACTGTACAAGTTGAAACCATAAAAAATAAAATAAAACTTTTCTATCTTAAAAAATTATCATGATAACCCTTTGTTAATCGAGAAAGAATATTTCGTGTGCACAAGGTACCTTTCCTTGCCACATGATAAAAATAACAAACTTCAGAATTTAATTTTGAAATTTTACAAAAACAGGCAATCTTTAACCTTCTACCACAGCTCACCGCAAAAACATTTGGAGCAAAACTTTATATCATTTTCTTTGTTAATATATGGATTATGAAATATGTTAGAGGCAATAAAATATGTGCTATTTTCTGTGAGATACAGAAGGTCAAAGATATTCTATTTTGAGCACAAAGTGAAAATTTACGTCAATGCTGATAGATACGATGTCAAGCCTGATAGATACGAGGTGCCATCGTTTGTAATGAATGCCGAGTAAGGGTCCCAAATTTAAAAAAAGGCTACGGTGAACTTTAACACATAATTTATTAGGAAATACGCTTTAATTAACCAATGCTACAATACAGGGCGAATCTAATTGTGTTGACCTTAAATGATGAACATTAAATTTGGCTTTAATCATAAATACAGATCTGGTTAATTCCGATAATAATAACTATGTATTAATTATTACGAATAAGGGATGATAGCCTGGATTGTGTAGTTTGTGAATTGTTACTTGTACATTATATGGAATAAAATCAAGTGATTATTGTTTTCTATCTTTGTTCACAACCCATTGTGTTTTTACACAGTCAATGTTATGCATATATAGGTTGTAGTTTTTCGAGCTTTGCCTTAAACCGCTTGTCAGGTTTACGGTATCTTGAGTAGTTACCAGGAACAGGTCCTCCCCTCACGTGATGGACTGCACAGAAGCTGCAAGCTGCCACACGGAGCCTCCCAAGAGCGGACAGGAAAAACTCTGCACAAAATTATGTCAAAACAATATCATTGTATCAAACCAGGATAACAATGTGTAATGTTAAATGAGAATAAAATTGATAATTTGAATTTTCAAAAGACTGTTTTCTTATTAGAATACATAAAGACATAAATAGTTTTCGTCACTGTAAACGCTTATCTAGGACACACCCTTTAACCCCATTTAGTTACGAATTGTCGCAACTTTGGGCCGGGGAATGCATTAAAAGGGCATTATACACATTCAAACGTATTTCAAAAACACCTTTAAAAACACTTAACTTTGTTACACGTAAGCTAATGATATGGTCTGGCAAGTTAATTTTTTATGACTGACGCCATTAAATTAACCTCAATTATACATTAATCAATAATACATGTTAAACAATCAAAAATACATCAAGATACTTGAGCTGTATTAATGTTAAACCTCAAAACATGAAACGTTATCGTTTAAAATATCTATGTTCTAACTTGACAAGCATATCCGTCAGTTACTCCTTTGTATGGCAACATGATTTTTTCAATAAACCAAAAGTCAGGAATTATAAGTCAAACTTCAACATTAAAAAGCTATATGCTAAAGTACAAATACTTTCAAAAATTGATTACATTCCATGGAATATATGCAATTCTTTATTTATTCTAACTTGATTACGTCATTGGTCATTATGCTCTCTTTTTTGACAAAAATTTAATCAAAGCTCTAAATTTGTTTTACAGCAAGTGTTCATTTAAACATTTTAGTCATTTTACAATTTGTTAGTTTGGCTGTACCTTGAAAAAAATTACTCTAAAGCCAAGACCGGCGATCAAAAATTGCAATTGCAATTAAATATGTATAAAAAAGTTGTTGAGGTGTACAATAACAACCCTCCGACGGTTTTAGCCCACAATGGTGACATAATGACACCATGTTACATAAAATGACATAAAATACCTTATGGTTAATTTGGCCACCTCGAAAAAAATGGTGATCGTACTAGAGGTAGTTGTTAAGTAACAGGATGTGCGCCGCCACCGCCCCGGAAAGACTAAACAAGCGTGTAATTTAAAAGAGTTACTAAATAGTGTTATTTATAGGAGTTACTAATTTATAGGAGTTGTAATTTATAGGAGTTACTAAATTTGCAGAAAAAATGTACGAAACACAAACCATAAGACCTGCTGGTCCAAATAAAGTAAACAATTATAAGTTTATCTTTGCATTTCTAGATCTTTCAGATTGGAAATATGTAATACCATTGTGTCCGATCCGGGCGAGTAATGGGTGTGGATCGAAGCCGACCGCTTTGGCTTCATTGGTAGAGGCAAGAAATATATTTAAAACGGCGTCGTTTGCGTATATCCCTGGAATGACATACGATTTTAATTAACGTAAGGGTGCACTCAATTCATTTGTAAGTCAAGTGAACATGGACATATTCAAATATTGTTATTTAAATCAGGACCACCTGTGCATATTTTATCATAGAATGCTTTAATAGCTTTCTTTGTTTAAAATAAGACTGTCAAGAAATATGAGATAATTCATGAAAAAAGGTTATCTCATTTGCACAATTAGAGACTGTGTATAACAATTTTATCACGTATTACAAATTGCAGTAAAGGTTGGTTAGATTTAGGCGGCGGTCATTCCCTTGTACATTCCGGATATGAAATAGATCTGTTAACCCTTTCCTATCCACCGCCCGTCAGCTTTTAAAGTGTTTTATATATGAGCTAGGCTTGTGCCGCTTATAACTGAATATTATGTATTAGTTAAAGGATGGGCGGAGCGAGTTTATGTGGATTTGGTACAGCCCCGCCCTCCCAAGGATTTTGTTGGCATCCCGAGGGCGGAGCCCGAGGGGTGCCAACAAAATCCGAGGGGGGTGCGGGGCTGTACCAAATCCACATATACGAGCAATTCGGCCATCCTTTAACTGACTTAGAACATGGCCATCTTTCCGAAGCAGAGGAAATACATTTTACACAATCATGTTTTGTTTTCTTCAAAAACCACTCATTTATTTTCCTAGAAACCTTACCAACAACATTACAGCTTGTAGTACGTCCTTTTGTTCTCATTCATGAATTGCAGCTGAGCTACTTCTTGCAGCCTTGTGTGAAATATGCATAGCGGTTCTTGTCATGGTTTACAACACTTTGCTAGCCCCACAATGCCTTCTGTTTTTGGGTTAAAAAATTCTCGGTTGTCTGTCTGAGACAGCAGTCCCTAACCTGATCCCAAACAAGTTGGTCGTGGCGTCTCTGCCGGCCTGTTCAGTGTTCTGTTCCCGGGCCGACTTGTTCCTGCTCTAACCCCTCCTTCCCTCGCCCAGTGCCTGCCCTGCTGTCTAAGCATGTTGGTGTATATTTTTTTTAGTCTTACCGTGGTTTGTTTTCAAAGTTTAAGAATTTGCAAATCATGTCAGACATGTTGGGAAGACTTTGCATCGTTTTAATGTATCGCTAAAAGTTTGTAGCTTCTGTGTTTCATTTTTTTACAATGTATGAGAAAGTCTCGTTATACATGACATTTGTAAGAAACCTTCTGAATTTTTTGCTTCATCCATACTCATTATTCATTCTCTGTTCGTTGTTCACTTTCCTTGTCATGAGTTTCTTTTGTCTACCTTTTTGAATAAAGATGTACAGGAAAATTGATCAAACTGCTGTTTTCTTGTGTTGTTAATTTTTTGAATCAATTTATTTGCATGTGAATGGTGGGCGTCTCCAACTTAGTCAATTTATGCGTTGGTTAGTACATGGGCGTCTCCGAGTTAGTCTAATTTATTCGTTGGTTAGTACACCCCTGTCCCTTTGGGGACCGCACTATGTGGATTTAGTCACAAGAAATACAGGCTCCTGATTGGCTGAGGAAAGGTGGCCATGTTCTAAGGACACATTTGACCCCGCCAAAAAGACTTCAATGCTTAAGAGTGCCCCACTAATATTTTCATAAAAGTTTATCTGTGTCGGTAGTTATAATAGGAAAACTTCATGTTGAACTTCATTCCAATTTCAAAACAGAGATTACAAAAATATCAAATTTCTAACGACCACTGTCGCCTTTATTAAGATAATTAATGGCCAATCACTTAAAAAACCTCAAGATGAATTAACCCATGCACCCATGTACCTGAGACTCACCAGGAAATCCGCGGACTTCACTGTAATATCCTGGGTCTGGTTTCTGAACAATGCACCTGTGTGTCTTATTCCCGAGAGCTAGGTAAGTTGTTGGACTTAACCGATCCTGGATTCCCACACCTACCTGCAATAAAGTGAGAAAGCGCGTTATGCATTAAGAATCCTAAAGCTAATACATATACATGTGTTGTATACCCGCGGTGTATTTATTACCTCGTCCAGAAGGTATTTTCCGGGTTGACTGTGCCGGTGCAAAAATATGACATCTGTCTTGTAGGATGGATATGTGTATAGACAAGGGTCATGTTTTATAATGGATATTATGGCTTGATCCTAGCTAAAGACCTACTACTGTTTTACCGTAGTAGATCTCCTGTGCCCTTACTCTGATATTAATGCGAAAATTTACTGTGGCTGTTTGTTAATACACGGTGTGGACTGGAATATTGTTTTAATCTGGATTGTCATAGTTTCTGTAGATGCGGCCCTACGACCTTCTCTGACTTACTAATTCCGTGGCTCCGCTCCAGTCAGATATAGGAGAAAAATTGAATTTACAGGCCTACTTTGGACATGAAGTGCTAATCGCAAAAGGGTTAGTTGTAATACAGAGCTGCCACGGACCGTTGCATACGATACTGAGCTGAATGCCCTAAGTGCCCGATGATAAAGTCACGAAAGACCAGAATTTTATCCAAGTGATCTTGAATCTCCCCCTGATTACGAGATAACACTGCATTAACCCTATCTAGGCCGGGGGGGGGGGGCTAAAAGTGCCCGCGGCAACTTTGATGTCACCTAGCGTCTGAACGGCAAGCGCTAGAACGGCCAAACTTGGTGACTTTAACAAGAATATTGTTGGCAACAATTCTCTATCATTCGAATAAGATAGTGATTTTTTGTGTTGCCATGGCAGGCATTATTTGCTAAATCTAGTAATTTTCGTTTCAACAAAAGAATTTTATGGGTTTTATGTCAACTTACTCATACGTCGATGAAGGTTAGACATCCAGGTAATACGATACGCCAAAAAGCAGTTACTCAAGCAACTGGATATGATTTTGAAAACGTCAGACGTTTCAGCTAGTATCCACTAGCTTTCGTCAGTGCCTGAGAGACCAGAGGGGAAAACAGGTACGTTTTTATAAGCACAACCTATTGATTGATATGAAAATAAAGTGAAGACAAATCTTTGGAAGTCGAAAAAGGAACAAAAGTCAGACAAGTCAAGACAAGATGATGCAAATTAGTCTGAAAGCTCCTGTTATACAGAACAGGAGCTTAAGTCTCTAAATCCCCTGCTAGTAACATCACACGGGAAGAACGTACCGCTCTCAAAGATTTGGCCACCAATCAAGACATATTGATTCTTCCTGCAGACAAGGGCAGATGCACAGTAGTCTTAGACAGGGAGCAGTACGACAGCAAGGTACAGGACCTATTGGGAGACAAAGACACCTACGCGCCCTTGAAAAAGGACCCCACTAACAAGTTTAAAGGGAAAATCAGTTCAGCTCTCAAGAAATTGCAAAATGAAGGAGTTCTGGATCGCACCAACTACCTAAAACTCAATCCCACAACGGAACAACCCCCTGCTTTATACGGCCTTCCCAAAATCCACAAACAGAGTGTCCCTCTACGACCCATAGTCTCCAGTATAGGCTCTGTCACCTACGAGTTAGCAGGTTTTCTAGCCAAGATTTTGGGACCACTAGTGGGGAAATCTCAGCACCATGTACAGAATAGTGCCGACTTTGTCAACAAAATCCAAGACATTCATGTAGAGGATGATGAAACCATCACTTCGTATGACGTGTACTCACTTTTCACCTCCATACCACCTGAGGAAGCAGTGTCAGTAGTCAGGGAAGCCTTGGAAGCCGACGATACACTTGCAGATAGAACCAACCTATCCGTTGACCAAGTTTGTGAGCTACTAGAACTCTGCTTAGGATGCACATACTTTACCTACAAAGGACAGTTCTACCAACAAATGCACGGCTGTGCTATGGGATCACCAGTTTCACCAATTGTTGTAAACCTGTACATGGAGAAGTTTGAAAACAAAGCCCTCAGCACGTTCAATGACACTCCCCCGGCCAACTGGTTTCGATATGTAAATGACACTTGGTGCAGATTGAAAAAGAGGGTAGCTGCTGATTTCTTTGACCACATCAACCAGATAGATGACAACATCAAGTTCACACAGGAGCCAAGCCATGACAACATGCTCCCCTTCCTAGACACCAAAACTATCGTAGAGGAAGATGGTAACCTTCGTTTCGAAGTGTACAGGAAACCAACCCACACTGATCAGTACCTGGCCTTTGATTCCCACCACCCTTTGGAAAACAAACTAGCAGTGATCAAAACTCTCTTCCATCGTGCAGACAACATTATCACTTCAGACCAAGCCAAGACGGACGAACATAGACAACTCCGAGGTGCCCTGGCTAAATGTGGCTACCAAAACTGGACTTTCAACAAAGCGCTCAAACCTTCAGATCAGTCTAAGAAAACCCAGAAGTGCAAACCATTGACCAACAAAAACAAGGCCAACATCACTATTCCGTATGTCCAAGGAGTATCTGAGAAACTCCGACGGATCTTCCAAAACTTCAACATAGCCACTAATTTCAAACCTCACTCAACCCTCAGACAAAGACTGGTACACCCTAAGGACCGACCTCACAAAGGTACCAAGGCGAATGTTATTTACAGACTCAAATGTGAGGAGCCCAATTGTAACAACACCTACATCGCAGAGACAAGCCGACCGCTCAAAGTAAGGTACAAAGAACATTGCCGACCTAGTGCCAACGGCTACTCCTCAGCTATTTTCCACCATCTACAACACAACCAGGGTCACTCTTTCAAACTCGAGTCCACGGATATCTAAGACCGCGAAACACGCTGGTGGGAACGGGGTGTTAAAGAGGCAATATATGAAAGAATGTACAACCCCACCCTCAACAGGGAAGGGGGACTACGGGTCGATCTTTCCTGCACTTGATATTTGGCACTCCCAGCCCCGAGAACAGACAACACTTAAGCTCCTGTTCTGTATAACAGGAGCTTTCAGACTAATTTGCATCATCTTGTCTTGACTTGTCTGACTTTTGTTCCTTTTTCGACTTCCAAAAAATTTGTCTTCACTTTATTTGCATATCAATCAATAGGTTGTGCTTATAAACCTGTTTTCCCCTCTGGTCTCTCAGTCACTGACGAAAGCTAGTGGATACTAGCTGAAACGTCTGAAGTTTTCAAAATCATATCCAGTTGCTTGAGCAACTGCTTTTTGGCGCAAGTTACTCATAGTTTCTAATATCAATAACATCCCATATAATCATATGTAAATTTTATTAATAAATATACATAATTTATGCTAATTTTATGACGTCATTGGCCAAAATCTAAGATTGCCGACCATATCATTAGAACAGGTATATACAGGTTATTGTCATTAAAATTTCATCGATACTTCCATTTCCGACATACCGTTCGCAAGTTCTGAGGGGGGGGGGGCAAATGAGACCCCCCCTCCGGTCCCATCAAGCCTAAAAAAAGCCCGGTATAGGTAGGGTTAACAGTGCCACGTCTCAAGGTGAATGCGAGAAAACGGTATCTAAGGATATGAAAAAGGCGGCAAACTGGTTTAATGAAAACAGATTGTCATTACATTCGGACAAAACAAAGTCCATGATCCTTGGTCTCCCCCAGAGACTATGACATGTGGAAGAGTCAGTCTCTGTAACCAAAGGTGTAAACATCTTTAAACAGGTTACGTCCTTTACTTACATTGGTGTTACTCTAGACGCCTCCTTGCAGTGGGCACATGCTCATGCTGAGAAGGTAACAAAGAAGCTTCTTGCAGGCTTGTTTGCCATAGGTCGTGCGATGCCCTTTGTCGCTAACAACATACTACAAGCTATGTGTAACACTGTTTTATTCACATCTGGACTATCGTTGCTCTGCCTGGCTACCAGCGCTTTTGCACTGCAACAAGACAAGAACACCGCAACTGAGCAGGCTGCCAGAATCATCACCAGCAGAACGCTTTAGGACAGAGTTACCTACTGACACTCAATTAGCGTAGGCGGGCATTGAGCCACTGACTAAAAAATTGAAAGCAAACACACGGGTAACTGTGTTTAAGGTACTCCATAAAAAATGCCACCATACATATCTCACATGTGTACATGGATGTCGCCACCTATGCTGAATAGACGAACACGGTCGGCTGTAAGCCAACTAGAGAACTGGGATCCTCACATGCTGAAAGTTCCACAGGCAAACATCACATCGTTCAAAGGGTCTCTGCAGTACCAGGGCCCCGTTCTGTGGAACCAACTTTCCAGGGAGCAAAGAAAGCTCTCAACTTTAACATCTTTCAAAGACTCTTTGTAAGTGGGACTTGAGTGGCAAATGTTTTTACTATTGTTATTTATGTTGAGTTAAAATTGTAATGTATATTCTTATTGTGTGTTTTCCCATGTGTATTGTGTATTATATATATATAACCCCAGAGATACCTGACAAACAGGTAAGTAGACCTGGGCGTACTACTCTGGTAAAATAAAATAAATGAAACGAAGTAAGTAGCCCACGCACGTAGGCAAGTTGGTATGTTGGAATTGTAGTTGGTGCTTGAAGCTATGATGCCATTCCAAAGGAAGGCAAGGCACGACAAGGAAAGGCCTGGCCAGCCAAGGCAAGGTCATGCAAGGTAAGGGCAGGCTTAAAGTCAATGCCATCAGCTCTCAATAAACGAAAAAAAAAATAGTTTCTTTTGGCAACTGCATATTTTATGTAGATCAGGTAACGCAAGGTTACGTGCCACCAGTTTGATAAATTTACAGTCAGTTATCGACACGGCCACACTTCGAGGTGTACTACTGAAAGGGAAGGGTCGTAATAAGGAATGAAATGAATATAATGCTTAAATTACATGTTTTTATTGTTCGGCCTCAGTTGCTTTCACATGCTCGTATGTTGGAACATTTGTATGTTCATAGATTTACGGCATTTCAGAATGCATAGCAGGGCAACGTAAAACTTTGTGGTTCGATCAGCTGAGATGGTCGTCTATCCCCGGACATCGAGGGTTCGAACCCTCGTGGTGGCGTTCCTTTTTACCTTTTTTTTTTAACATCCGTTGTTTTGCTTTTATGATTTTTCTTACTCAGGAATGTCAGTAAGATAAATTTTTACTTATTTGTAGTTTACTCTTCGATGCTTCGGCATGTTTTGGCAAGCTAATTTCGCCTGTTTTAATCCCACTGTAAGCATTATTTTAATTTTCTTTTTAACTCATCCAAAATGCCAGTTCTTTTAAAAGCTCTCCCGACTTGGCGATTCCTTTATTTAGTATTTTTCTGAGGCCGGCCCAGCTTTTTGAAAAAGCTTTTCTTGTTTTCTCTTTTACAGACGCCTGTTTCTTTTCTTCTCTTTCTGAGCCTTATGCACTGTCTTTTCTGTCTGGTGCCTCCTGTCCAAACGGGACTTTCTTCTTCCCTAAAGTTCAGGGGTAGGGAAGTTGGCGGAAAATTAGGCTACTTCATTATAAAAGCTAATCTTAAGGTGGCAAATACAAATAGGAAAGTTAGCGCTTGCACAGTTCATTGCAGAAGCTGTTGAAAGCTTCCTAATTCTGTTTTTTCTTCTCTTCCTGCCATGTCTTTAAATGAAATAAATTTCTTCATTTTTGAGCCAAATGGCCTAATATTTGGTATGGAGATAAAGTGGTCATTTTTTGATACAGGCTTATAGGTTTGTTTTATGTTTTTGCTTTTTTCCGACAAAATCTGTAGATTTGGGGTCATGGAGACCTAGAATTACACCCAAAAATATCTCAAATTTGGCATGGTGTGCTTTATATATCAAACAACATATTTGGCATACACTCCATTACAAATGTAAGATTTGGGACTTTTGGACTTTTTAAAAATGTCTGTATTGTTTGGTGTGACGAATGCAATGCAGAGCAAGCAGCATGCTATAGGCATAAAGGCAGGCCGCGTCTTTATTGCTGATTGGCTGCTGATAAATAAATTTAACAACATACCTTTAACACCTGCAATACACTTTCCTTTTTGCCCTGCTATTTAGATCAATCGGTCTACATATTGGGGGAAAAGGGCCTGACTTTTTTTAATTTCCAAGCAGTTTCGTGTGGACCCTGTTAAAAGTGAAAATGCTTTTACTAATAACGGGGCAAATGTGTTTTGGGGACTACAGGGTGTTTTAAGAACACCTTATATTAAAAAGCAGTTACATGAGGCTTTGCAAAACGTCTGTTTCTATATGAGGGTTTCAAAACATTTACTGTACTGCCGCAAATTGAAAATGATAGCTGTGTATTCTTGTGGTTAAGTAGCATTTTATTTTGGCCGGAATTTTTTTTCAAGTTAAAGCATGGGCCTTGGTTTGAAATCTGCTGTAGTTGCTGCAGGTATGCATGAAAACCAGGCAAGCGCCACCTTTGAAGCTGGAGCTAAGGGGACAACGTCTGGAACAATGTCCTTTAGTAAAGCTATTTGGACTACACCTTGATGGAAACCTCACATACGACAACCACACTGCTCATATAGTTAAGAAGTGCAACAGAAGCTTGGCACAGGTGGGAAGGGTTAAGAACTTGCTACTATTTCGACAGAGAATAGCCGTAGTCAACGCCTTAATAATACCACATATAGACTACTGTTGCTCCGTATGGGGAAACACAACACAGAACAATTATAGGTGGTCCAGAACAGGGCAGCAAGGCTAGCTCTTGGTTGTGATTGTGATGCACATGTAGACACCATGCTGAAGACCTTAGGATGGCTGACTGTCAGGAACAAAATCCAGCGAAGAATTCTTGTCACTTATAAACGTATAATGATCAGCAAACAACCACAGGCTTTGTACGCCAAAATCACATTCCAACCTTAGATTCACAAGTACCGAACACGCTCAACCAGTACAAACAAAATCAGACTACCAAAACCAAACTCCTTTTTGTACAGAATGTCACCATTGTGGAATAACAAAAGCGGCAACTAGCAAAGTACTGGACTGTTAACTACAGACTGTTAACTTTGTAATGTTTTTGTACGTTTGTAATACATGTATGTAAATATGAATGTGTAGACCGCAGGAAGAATAGCCCCTTATTAGGCTAATTGTGGATCTAAATAAAAATCAAACTCAAATATGAGCGGGGTATTTAGGTTTACACTGGAATATGAAATTTGGTGCTGTTTATAACAGTTAAAGTCTGATTCTTCTTTATACTGAGTAGATGGGCTACATTCACTTTGTTAACTTTACATTTGGAACACGTCAGAGAATGTTACAGAGAAAGGTCAATCTTAAAAACATTTTTGTGCAACGTATTGCAGCATAATGTAGAAACCCATGCAGTCATTTTTACTTACAAGATGAAAGTTGGTTTTATCCAGGAATGATACAAGCAAGTCCATCTTTGTTGTTTCTGTAATCACCATGTCGTCATCCATGTAGAAAAAATATTCCGTCCATACCTGGGATAATCCAAGATTTCGGCCAGCAAAATATCCCTGGTAAAAGAAATGTTTAACCACGTGAAGTATAACTTTTTTCTCTTATGCGATTTTTTGCCAATTGGATGTTAAAAATGTGCTGCTGTTTACTGGTGTTATTTATAAAAGAAGGCAGAGGATATAACGCAAAATCAATGTTCAAGTTTATGAAATAGTGTCATTAACAGCGTTTTGCCAATTCTCTCCGGTCAGAACGTTAGCAGCTAGATGACTCCAAACATCCTATCAAATCCGTGAGTGGCACGCGGAACAATAACGAAAAACGGCAGGTAGTGATCGTCTATAGTTTTAGAAAATTTCGTGTTTATTTCTTCCTTTTGTTTTCTAATTGAATAGACTATTTTAGCAAACCAACCTCTGGCAAACATAATCCAGATTGTTTCAAATATCTACATCAGTATATATATATATGCTTGCAATATATTTGTATAAATTGCAAGCATCCCTGTTTAGCTTTTTTTACTCCGTAAAGGAGGTCAGGACCTCCGGACGGAGTATTGTGAGAAGCTATTTTTTCGTCTTCGCAGCTAGAACACGGGGTTCTTTTTGTGTGATCGGCATGCAATTTTATACGCCGTCTGCGGGCATACCCGTGTTGATGCACGGATGTGTATTTTTGCCGTTGCTGTTTTCGCGGTCAATGTAATATTTAAGATGCACCCCTACAATTATGAGGCAAATTTGAATGGTCCAGAAAAACCCGTTGTTTGGAATAGCGGTGGGGGTGGAACTTCATGCAGACGCAGGGAGGGGTTGATAAGTGGTACCATAGATGTTCGCAGCCAAAACGCATTGTTCCGTACGTAGCATTTCTGTGTAATTTGGCATGTGGTGTGCCATTATGCCCGTGGTGATGCACGTCATTTTATTTTTATCCTAGCAGTTTTGATATTGGAGTAAATGCTTATTTTTGAAACATATGTATAATGTCGTTGACGTGTTTTCGCCCGGGTATCTGACCGGCGGTAGTAACACTCGAGGTGCTGGCCGCAACTGTTGCTGGAATTTGGCCTGGCCAGTCGTGCTTAATAAGTAACAGGAACGGTAAGACGGTGGGGCTGTATTTGTTACTAGTGACACGACCATGACTGTCCGATCTTTATGTCAATGCAATGATTGTGTGTGTGTAATTAAAATGAACTTCAAACTTGAATGGATTGACTTCATATTTAGTAGGTGGGTAGGTCTTGATGAGACCTCAAAATGATTAGATTTTGTGCCCCCTAGCGGCTTCTAATGGTACTGCAGCTTAAGTTCCGGTTTCGATATCTCGTGATCTAGACGTTCTAGGGCTACGAAATTTGGATGGTAGGTAGGTCTTGTGCTGAATAAAAGTGACGTAGGTTTGGCCCCCCTAGCGGCTTGCTCAGGAACTGCAGGGGCGTTTCTTTGAAACTATTCAAAAGGCAATAACTCAAGAACTGGTGGACGGATCGTCATGATTTTTTGGTATGTAGGTAGCTAAATTACGCTTGACATAATTATGCGACAATTATGCAATTCTGGATGTAATTTGCATAATTAACGAGGAAATTCTATTAATCAGCTCCATTACATTATGGGACTATTAAAGCTTGGGACATATGTAATTAATTGAGACCGAGAGAAACACATACAGACATTCATTATGTAAATTAACACTTAATTTGCATAATTAATAAGAAAATGTTATAATTCCAAAATGGTAACTGCCTGGAATTTCATACTTGGGGTATTTGAAAGTTAAGTGAAGGTGAACATCATTAAACATAACTTATTCAAATAAGGACCTCATTTGCATAATTTCTGAGAAAATGATACAATAGATTTGTCGATGAAGGTTAGACATCCAGTTAATACGATACGCCAAAAAGCAGTTACTCAAGCAACTGGATATGATTTTGAAAACGTCAGACGTTTCAGCTAGTATCCACTAGCTTTCGTCAGTGACTGAGAGACCAGAGGGGAAACCAGGTTTATAAGCACAACCTATTGATTGATATGCAAATAAAGTGAAGACAAATTTGGAAGTCGAAAAAGGAACAAAAGTCAGACAAGTCAAGACAAGATGATGCAACTTAGTCTGAAAGCTCCTGTTATACAGAACAGGAGCTTAAGTGTTGTCTGTCTTCGGGGCTGGGAGTGCCAAATCCCAAGTGCCGGAAAGATCGACCCGTAGCCCCCCTTCCCTGTTGAGGGTGGGGTTGTACATTCTTTCATATATTGCCTCTTTAACACCCCGTTCCCACCAGCGTGTTTCGCGGTCTAAGATATCCATGGACTCGAGTTTGAAAGAGTGACCCTGGTTGTGTTGTAGGTGGTGGAAAATAGCTGAGGAGTAGCCGTTGGCACTAGGTCGGCAATGTTCTTTGTATCTTACTTTGAGAACGGGGAACGGGGTGTTAAAGAGGCAATATATAAGTTGGTGCCGAGGAAGGCATACATAGAAGATGTCATCAAAGTCAGACTGGCCAATGGGGCTGTCCTACGGCCAGAGTTGAGCTGGAAGTAGATGGTAACGCGAGAGAGGTAGAAGTAGGGGTGATGAACACACCCTATCCAGTGTTGCTAGGCAACGACTACGGGGCGGCCTGCGTCGGAAGTAGGGCAGGTCCGGTAACAACTAAGGAGAACAAGAGTGAGTTGGGGAAGGACAAGAGGTGCCTTGGACGTGGTGAGAATATGGAGTCAGCGGTACCACGATATCAGATTCCAGCGAGACGCCAGCAAGGTGGCCAAGTCGAATATCCTCCGAAGGCAAAGGCGAGGAGCAAGAGTATCATAAAACAGAGGATACAGAAGCTCATGGAGGAGGATCCGGTTTACCGGAGGGGTCGGCTGCGTTGGTTGCGGAGGCAGCACCAACTAAAGAAGGCAGCAGGAAAACGCACCAAGCAGGAGTATGGTGTGAAATAAGTTTCAGAGCATGCCATGGCTGACCAGCTGAAGTACCGGAGTAGAGTGTATTGTAACAGAATAGTGTTTTAAGGTAGCCGACTCCCCTGTTAGTAGTAGTAGTAGTTAGCATATTGTCAGATGATGAAACTATATTACACATGTGTATCGTCTTGGGGGAGGTGTTACATGCTAGAGAAAATTGCAAGCCAGTAGGTCTATACCCTCCCCTGATAAGTAACGGTTAAGCCCGAAATGGAATATCGAGGTCAGGAAGGCATTCCAGAGGGGAGGGGGGTAGTCTGTCTCAGGGTTCCAGAGAGGTGGGACGTGAAAATAAAGCCTGGCAACTTGCAACCTGAGTCTCCGCTTCTTCAATCGGAAAAGAACACTCTAACAATCGGGGCATTCCAGAAAAGGACAGATTATGTCTGCTGTGTGATTTACAAGAAGTAGAAAATGAGGCTCACTTTATGTTTTACTGTCCGTTTTATGACAAGTTACGTCAGGCACTCTTTGATAAGATGTACAAGACGCGACCTGATCTTATCTGGGATAGGGATGAACCAAAATTGAAGTGCTTATTTACAGAGGGAGTGTTTGAAACGGCGACATACTTACAGCAGGCCTGGAAAAAATGTAAACTCCACATTTATTCATAACAGGCTGATCTTATTTAGTTTTACTGTAATTTTCAGTTTGGTTGTCCTCCTTCCTTGCTACGTTTACCTGATCACTTTTCTGTTAAGGTAATTCTCTGTATGTAACAGTCATGTGACAGTTACCTCTTGTTACTTATATGCATTATCAATTTTGGTTGAACCTAAATTATTATTATTTATCATCTATGTTACATTTGATTTGATTTCTGTATATGACCAGTACTACTTAATTTCCTGTATTTATTATATATTATATTAATTTATAATTCATGTTACATCTGATTCTCTGTACCTTTTCTGTTGTCTTGATTTTGTATTTTTTCGGTGCCTTATAGGCCCATATGGGCTGGGCGACATATGATTGCAATGGCACGAAAATAAACAGTCATTATTTCATTCATTTATACGCACGCTTATTAGTGTGCTTGTTTCTTATTGTTTCTGCTAAAAGAGATTAACACAGCCTGATATTTCCAAAAAAATTCTATATGTTGACAGTTTCAATTCATATTGAAAAGAGAAAGATATCCAAATTTTACAAAGTTCAAATGATTACATATATCATTGCGCACAAATTTTACAATCCATGTACAAAACGCCAGGGAAAGTTAATCAGTATAACATAACGATTTAGGAATGTTGCTTAAAGAATAAGTGGTATGGTGAGGACTTTTATTTCATATTCTATGTTGATTGTCCAGTAATATATTGAAAATATACCTTGTATGCGGGCATCCGGTAGTGATCGACATTACTGCTCTGAAAGCTGGTAAACAGGTGACCAGGTGTGTCATCAGCAACAACTATTCTTGTTCCAGGATATAACCTATTTACAGACTCGATCGCATTTTTAAGTCTACTGTAACGAAGAAATGTCTTCAGCACAACTGTCACTCTGTCCTTGACTTGCCCTTCAGAAGAGAAACGGAACATAAGCAAATCTGTGTACAAAGGCAAAAATATCCAACATATTCAATATACAACTAGAAGGGTAACATTTCCAAGCAGATGTAGCATGTTTAACTTTGCAGGGTCTCATCAACCAGTCTTACGTTTTGTTTTATAAAATTAACTAACAATAAGTTCTATATCCACAGTGAAGTTTGGGTGTACTGGGGAGTTTGGATAAATAAGTAAAAATCACCTAAGGCCCCTCTCCACTAACACACACACACGTGCGCTCGCGCACCCACACAGTCAGCATCTTATTGTAAATAAATATCAATTAAGACCAAGGCATGAGTCAAGTAGACTCATTAAATTACAAAAAAAAAATGAAGTGCTATTCTTGTTTCAGCAATTCATTAAATTTTTGCCTTAATTTTTTTATAAGCTGGACTTCTAAACAAAGAATAATAGAAAGGTATTACTACTAACCAACCTGTTCCTTCTTCGAACAGCCATGGCAGCTGAACGTGTTGAATGTGTATCGGCATGGTTGCAGTGAACTCCATGAATTGAATTATGACTTAAAGGAAAAAAAAGTTTATGTTGCTTAACAATGCAAAACAGAAACTATGATGCAAGAGTGGCCATGTTTTGTAATCCTGCAGAGCAAAGACCTGGTACTGACACATAATGAGTCTAGTTTATGTCCTGGAAACGCCGTTAACAGAAGTGTGAAAATCTGTGCATACAACAAAAAGCAATAAAATGCAATATTTCTAGGTGGCGTTCATTAGGGGCCCTAGCACAGGCCTTGACTAATTTTACATTTTTAGGTCGACCTATTGTCATTTTTTAAAGCCACGCCTATTGTAATATATCCCATTGCTAAACCTATAACATTACAGAAGCCACTGAAATTCATTTTAATTTCTAGCTAAATTCATTTTAATTTCTAGCTAGTGACCACAAAGCCGATATGTCACAATATGTTTGGTTTCATCCAGCAGAAAATTAGACTATTTTTGGCAAAGGGATGCCGCCTCGACTAGAACAAGCAATACACAAACTCACGTGCGCGTAATCTCCCTTAACCCTATTCATACCGGAGAGGTGGGGTGGGGGGCTTTTGAGGCCCGTGCCAACTTTCATTGCGGATAGTACCTGTACGGCTTGCGCTGGAACCGCTTGTGTTCCTACGATAAGTGCTTGTTGATTTACTTTAAAAGCCCAAAAAGCTCGGTCTGAACCCATGTACACTGAATTTCAAAAAGGATCCGTTAAATGCTTACTGGTTGATTGAAAATTGAATCTTATGTACTAACGGGTAGTTACCGCTCCTGCATAGAACAGGTCTTCACTCTCCGTAACATCATTGACCAGTGTCTTGAGCACCAAACGCCACTGGTATTAAACTTCATAGACTTTAAGAAAGCTTTTGACAGTGTCCTTAGGGCATCTCTTTGTGATATTGCAGTTTGCCAACGCCTTCAAGACTCTTTTTGGAAACTCAAGATGCTGCGTCATAACAGAGGGAGAAACAGCAGATTTCTTCGACATTGCCACGCGTGTCAGACAAAGAGAAATCCTTTCCCTTTTTTTCTTTTCACCATTGACTTTGTCCTGAGAAAGACTGGAGATGATGGTAGAGAGTTAGTGAGGTGGAGGGAGGGAGAGAAACTGGCAGACCTTGACTTTGCGGATGATCTAGCCCCGCTGTCTGAGAACAACCAGGATCTACAGCACCTCACAACAAAGCTAGAACGGTTTGCTGGGAACGTTGGGCTGAAGATCAGCATAGAAAAGAACAAAACAATGGAAGTGGGAGATCATGCTGATCAATCACGGCTGAGTATCAGCGTGTATAACACTCAAGTCGAAACTGTGGACCAGGCGGCCTACCTCTACCACTACCTTAGCAGCGTGCTTTCAAATGTTTCAAATAAAATCCATATTATTCATTGCACTTAAAAGTGTACCACAAGATTACCTCGGTCGACAATATTGGCATCGAAAAATGTATTTTCATAGGCGATGTACTTGAGCTGAAGATTAAGCAGGGACGGGCTGTATGTTGAGATAGTTATCGTCTTTGAACCATTCCCCGTAACATCGACATCATGTACATGGCCAATCAAGTTGAAAACTCCTCTGGTAGCATTTATCTGAAACTAAAACATAAGTATGCAGGAGGTATTATAGTAGTTATAAGTACAGATGGCCTTCAGACGCTGGTGTTGTACAGTAAGGACAAGCTTGATTAAAAATACAGGATTCTGGTCCTTACTCATTGGGTTGGACCCCTGTAAGGCTTCTTTTAAATCAAAGAACTGAGGACTAGGATAAGAACTGATAAGGGTGAAGCTACTTCGGCAACCCTCTCCAAAACTGGGAGTGAACGCTAAAGCGTATTACCAATTTCTCACAGGGCGTTGACATAGTAATTCACAACATATATTATCTATTGTCTATTATCTATCCGTCTATATTTATCTATCTGTCTATATTTATCTATCTATCTATCTATCTATGTATCTCTCTCTCTCTCTCTCTCTCTCTCTCTCTCTCTCTCTCTCTCTATATATATATATATATATATATATATATATATATATATATATATTTATAAATTTATTTGCAGTATTCTGACTGGATAAAGACGAACGTCATTTGATAACGGACGCTTTAGTGTACACGATTCCTTCGTTACAGTTCACTTTGCTTGACTTAAAAACATAGTAAACAATCAGAGCTAGCTAACTATATACAGAAACATTTTCACAGATTACCTTTAATTTTATGTTGCTCCGTATATTGTAAAGATTGAACCACTCAACTTGTAACCCTAAATGGAAACATGTTGTTTAGTCTTTGAATTTTACACATAAAACTGTTTAACATTAAGTGAAGAAAAATCATTAACATTATTTCGAAATAATACCAACGTTTAACCTTTATGTTAAAATTACTGTTTCAGTGTAGGTAATATGTAAGCGGTAATATCAGCTTACCTTTTAGCCACACAGAACGCATCGGTATGACAGAAACGCCATGTGCCGGATAACTTATCGGTGATGACCCGTTTACTTGGTTACGTCCGTGGAATATGTTGATTCGCCTTTAATAGACGTAAAATATGCTCCTTGCAGCATACAATTTTAACCATATCTAGATATCAATATTTCCTTAAGGGTTGGTTAAGTATAGTATCAACAGCAATGGTGGCAGAGGTTACACAAGCTTTAGCTTACTATACAACTTGATCTACCAAAAAAACGAATACATTTATCGCGTGGTCCGACCTTTTTACCTCCGGGGTAGGAGACATCCTCCCCCGAGGAGAGATTTAGATTTTTATGTTCGCAGCTGTTTCTCGCGTTTGGGTAGACGGCTTTTTTGCGACTCGGTGTATGTTTTGCTAGTGGGATGTAGATTATGCACGTTCTTTTGTTTTTATTGTATATGTGTTTTCGGGCTTAAAAATTGTGCCTTTTGGTGGCCCCAGAACACCCCCTTAAGCGTAAAAATGGTCGCGACCGTTGACCTTTGGCGTGTTGAAGATATTCTCGGTCTGGTTCACGTATATGACCCCTCGCACAGAGGGGTGTCCCGTCTCGATAAATTCTTTGTTTAAAACCCTAGTCCTGCGGCGCGCAATAGTTGTTGTTGTGCACAAAATTCAACACCATCAACTATACATAACAAACAGCATATAAAAATATACAATAAAAATCCCGGAGTTATAAAACCTCAGATTTTACTTGTTTTAAAGATTAAATAATATTTCCAGTTCTCAATACCATGTGCAGCATACCTGACGATAGAGATAATTTGAAACGGAATATTTTATTATAGTTCAATAGGACAAATTATTGCAATACGATTATCGATATTAGTAGACTTATTGGAATAGTTACTTATTGATTTTATTAACCTGTTTATTTATGAGGCAATGTTTAAAAGAACAAGCAAGTAGTAATAAACTAGTAGAAAAAGTGCCATTTTTCTTATTAATTAATGTTTTTCGTAATTAAAAAGGGCTAATTTCAATGCTGAATCTAGAAGTGTGCTTTAAAATTAAAAATGGCACAATTTTTCTAGGTTTTGCTAATAATGTTATTTTTCTATAAGAGGTAAAGTTACCTTCTTTCGTATCTTTTTAAACTTGCCTCTCTTCTTTTCTGGTCTGCTGCTGAAATGGATAGTTTAGCCGCTTTGCACTCAGAACAAGGAATCTGCTTAAGTTTACTGAAATATAAGGGAGGTATTTATTCGATCGTACAATAATCAATCACATAGCTCGTGACCGCATTATGTACTTTTGGTTATTTTTTTCTGGCGAAAAGGACACTACATAGTCTGTCATCAGTTTTGTAACAGCATCAAAATAAATACATAATACTGATCGAAGTGCGGCGATTGCACTGGTAACTATTATTTGAATCACCTTTATTGTACTTGCTTCTTGGTTAGTATGGTTGGGAGAACATTTAATTCTTTATATATATATTGTATATTTCCTATACAAAACTATTTTACAATCACTTAACCTATTTCTTAAGTTTATTATCGTAGTGAAAAAATATTCCAGATTGTAGCAATACAATAAACTGAAATTGTTTTACATACTTACTTACAAATGGTTGGATCATACTTAACGAGATGAGATTGAGTCTTTCCCAAAGGACGCATAAGGGAGCTGACTTCAAAAGCACCGGCTGCATGATAACTGTTCTGTTCTCTAATATAGACTGTGTCTAAATGCGAATTCAACAAATATCCACAGAAACTGAAAAGAAAATGAAGTTAACGGTAGTTGCACAACCCCGTACCTTTGCCAAATAATGTAAGCATTAATAAATGACGTATAAATGGTTTACATTGCTTTCACAAATTTATTATGATTGTAAATCAATTATAGGTTTTTGTACTGGCCTAAAAGATCTTTTCACAAAGGTATATTTGGTAACACTGGAGAGTTTCAATGATGATAAGACTCCATCTTAGACCAAATAACACGTTTAAATCTGTATTAGATTCACTGTGTTAGTTTGGTGTTAAGGAGCGTCAGGTTTTCCATAAAGTGTCCATCTAGTTGTAGTTTCAGGTGTTTCCCAGAAATGTAGCAGAAGTTCTTTGTAATCCTTTATACGAAAGACCAAAGTAACATTCAACAATGCTTCATTGGGTCAGTTCTCATCATTCTCATCTCTCTTCGTTTAAAACTCAGTTTTCAACGTTCAAAACCCATTTTTCAACGTCAAAAAGTCTTTTTTCTCGTCGTTCAAAACCAATTTCCGTTCGTTCAAACCCCAATTTCTCAACGTTCAAACCCATTTGTCTTCGTTCAAAACCTACTTTTCTTCATTCAAAAGAAACTTACCTATTCCATTGTGGTCAATTGTAGGACAGTTAAAGGTCAGCTTTGCAAAACATGAAAGGGCGAGCAAAGTCAAAAACTTAATGACATTAATTTATATATATAAACCATGTTAGGTATATTTCAAAACTAAAAGTCTTACCTTCCTGCTGCGAACAGTACTAGATTTAGAAAAAGGCTTTTTCGGTTGGGAGAAGTTGCATCCATTTCTTCCCAAACTGTAGTTCTGAAAATAATTTACGTGTCAGTTCCAAAGGAACATCATTTGCTAGTAGGCGGCCCACCCAAATGTAATATAATTTACTGGTTGCTTGAGCCCTCATTATATATGGATGAATTGTAGTAATAATTCTATAAATATTTGCTGATTGGGAATGAGTCTGTATGATCTGTATATCAATGACCATTATACAACAGCACAGTCCTGAAACAATGCCTTAACGATGGTAAAATTTTTGGCTCGATGTCCTCACCTTGTTCTGAACCTGAAGCCCATGCAATCATAGCCAAATGTTGATAAGAAGAGTATTCATCATTCCCAGAATGTCAAATTTACTAACGTTAGATTTGTTTACGAATGGCTCTAAGGGTGGAAATTTTGTAGTTTAAGAAACATCATACATATTAATATTTATAGTTATACATATAAACATATATATGTAACTATTATTTAAGATATTATCTTATAATCTTATATCTTATTATCTATATACTATCAATTTTTCAATCTATGTATCTGCGTACTATCAGTTCTAAATAGTTATATATAGTTATAAATCTATCTGTGTACCTATCTATCTATCAGTATCGATCTCTCTGTATATATATATATAGAAGTATACATATAAAAATATATATATAACTATATAGCTATATATATCACTGTATATATATATATACACACACACACACAACAAACACACACACACACACATATATAACTACTATATATATATATATATATATACAGTTCTATATTAGTTTATATCTACTCATATATCCACTATATATCTACTTATATATCTATGTATATATTATACATCTATATCTGTAATTATATATCTATATATTTAGTTAAATATATATATATATAT